ATTCTCTCGCCGTGGTCCTGGTGCACCCACATGGCCACCTTTCCGGCTCGTCTGTTTGTCCGCGGGGGAGTAGGTGGTGAGTGAAGACAGGAAATCCATTCCCTCTGCGTAGCCTCACCAGCAAGCCTCAGCACGTTGATGCGCTAAGGGATCCCAGGGACCCGCTCCCGTCCACGGGAAACTGAGGCCCAGAAAGAGGGAACCCGGAGCACTGGAGAAAACAGCAACCCCGGCGCCCCCTCTCCCCACCGCAGGAATCCCTTCGGATCGGGTGCAGCGAACACGGCCCGTGCCTTTCCGCGAAGAGGGGGTGCTGGCCCATTAGCTGCTCAGTGAGTCGGAGCCGGCCGCTGCAGCACGCGGCGGGCACTCGAGGGCCCATCCCGGCGGGGGCGGCGGCGGGCGCCCCGCGGGCAGCCACCCCCGGGCCCGTGCGCCCGGCTCCGGCGCCGCCGCGGTCCCCGAGCGCGCTCGCAGGGCCGGGCGCCGCGGCAGGGGCCCTTGGTGGCGCGTGCGTCCTCCCCGCAGGCCCCCGCGCGCCCGCTCGACGCTGTGGGCCACCCCTCGCTCTGCGGGGACCGCGAGGCCCGGGCCACGCCGGCCGGGGACGCGCACACGCCCGCGCCGCGGCCCCGGAGGCCCCGCCGGCCCCACGTGCCGGCGGCGTCGCGGCGGGGGAGCGAGCGCGGGCCGGCCCCACGCGCCCGGGGTCCCCGCCGGCCTGTGCGCCGCCTCTCGGAGCCCCAGCCCCCGCCTGTCTGGGCCGCCGGGGCTCCGCAGTGGCCCGCGCACCCCACGATGGGGCCGAGTGATTTAGGGTGGGCCAGGCGTGACCCTGAGCGCCGGGGGGGGGGGCAGCTGGGGCTCGGCCGCCGACTCCTGTGGGGGCCCCTGCGTCAGGAGGCTGGGGTCCGTGTCCCTCCAGACCTCTAACAGCGTGGGCCCGAAGCACCCCCCGAGAGCATCTTTCTCCCTATGGGAAAAAAGTGCAGTCGGAAGGGCAGTCCTACCGAAGAGCGGGGGGGGGGGGGGGGGGGGGGGGGGGGCTCCAGGCCTGAAACCAGGTGGGGGGTGAGCAGGGTAGGGCGAGGGCCGCGGGGAAGGCCGCCCCGCCGGCCTAAAGACTCCCCACCTGTGGACGGCTGAATGACAAAAGGCTCTTAGATCCCTACTGAGAAGGCCCGTAGGCCCCGCGGGAGGATCCGGGCGTACCCTTAACACAGTTTAAAAGGTTAAAAAACGCGGCCCCACCCATACCCACTCTGGCTGCATTTCCAGGGATTTTTTTGTTGTTGTTGTTTTTAATTTCCATGGATTCTTAAACGGAGGCTGCCCGGGTTGAGCCTCAGGGATGTCACTTCAAACCCTGGGCATCCCCATGAAGACCTGGTGGCAGGGGGGTGGGGCAGGGGGCGGGTGAAGAAGGTGGGGGACCAGGGCTTTCTGTTTGTTGTTGAATGATGAGGACTCCCTTTGAACTTCTGGGGGTCTTGAACGGACAGGAACTGGCAACTTCTTTAAACATCATTTGCCACACTTTTTCCCTATTTCCTCTCAATGTTTTCCTGACCTCTCCAGGCAGCCAAGCAGTTTAGGGGATTCTGGTTTGAGGTTTCCCTCTGTGAATGGGCCCTGCCTGGTGCTGGGCCTCAGAGGCGATTGATGCGGTTGAAAATACTTTCCAGTGAAGACCAGGGCAGAGGCCCAGAGTGCCGACCGTCACCTTGACCAAGTCACTGGCACTGCAGACTATGGCAGCAGGCTGGCTGCCTCGGGGTCCCAGAGTTCAGGCCATGCCCAGGCACCCCTGACTTTGTCACTTGTTTCACCTTTAGCCCTCCCCAGGTGACCTTTTACAGGTGACAAGCAGACCACCTTCAGGAAGAGGTGTCTCTGCCTGGGATCCCCTCCCTCACAATCAGATTGCAGTGACTAGGGTGGATAGACGGGTCAAATCGCCTTTGCTAGAGGTCCCTGGGGCTGGGAGAGGTGAAGTGACATAGCAGAGGCCTACTCAAAGTGAGGGACAGAGCCCCAGGCCACAACCTTGCCCCTGCCTTCCAGCCCCACGGTCATGTCACCTCATTCCCCCTCTGAACGTGGAATTGAGTTATGAGTTTCTACAGTACTGAGGAGAAAGAGACTGTGTGAGGAAGGGATGGAGGAGTTGGGGGAGATTGGCCCTGAAGAAGACATGGAGAGTTGGTGGGGGGATGAGCAGGGAACCATGGCAACCATCTTCAGATCTTTGACTCTCTGGGCCATGTCATAATCATGTTCTGTGAAGTTCTGATGACAGTGACCACAGGCTTAAGCTTCGGGACAAGTGCTTCAGCTTCATAGAAGGAGGAGCTTTCGAGGGAGCTGGATAGGAGGAGGAGCTTTCTCGGGAGCGGAGATGGAAGCTGTTCCTTCGAAGAATCCGAGGAAGCCTTTTGTCATTCGAAGTATGTACACAGCAATAGGAGACCAGTGGGCAGGGCTGTGGCAGGGGATGGGGAAGACTGGGTCTTGGGGGCGGTGTCTGAACATCACTTGCTGTACAGTCTCTTCTAGATGGGGGGTGTTCTTGTTTCCCTGGTTTAGCTTTCAAGCTGCTGTCTTTGGGAATGCCCTCCATGTGCCCCGGTGTGAGTGTGTGTCCATGTGCTGCTTGTGAGTTGCCCGTGCTTGTAAATGTGAACCTCGCCATCCACTCGGGGGTCCCCCCAAGTACGCCTTGTGGGCTCTGAAGGGTGACCACTCTGGTTCCCCCACCTTGGTGCCCGCCAACTGTGAAGTGCAGCTTCCCACTGTGGCCAGGATGCCAGTCAGTGGATGGACCAGAAGCAGCCCCCCGTCCCACCTGAGACCCCAACTCACATCTTGGGCCTGACGACATTGGGAGGCTAGGGCTCTCTGGCAGGAGATACTGGTCAGATCACCTGTGGAGACCCTAGTCCCTTCTGGGAAGGGCAGGGACAGGGGAGGAGGGAGTGGCCCCAGGCTGGTCGGACCCTGAAAATCTCATTGCGGAAGAAGCTGGAGAAGAGACCTGACCTGCCATGAAATCCCCGAAGGGGGAATTGTACTGTGAGCAGGATAGTGACCCCAAGGCTCAGAGATTGCCTGAGATGGAGGAGACTGCCCAAAAGGGAGGTGTTAAGCTCCCTATGGGTGGACACATGAGAGTAGAAGGTAGGCAGCCACTCAACGAGCTCTAACAGGGTGGAGGATTGGACCAGGTGGCCCTAAGACGTTTGTATTCTTGAGTCTTTAAACTGGGGACCTGGGAAAGTGACTTGATACTTGTCAGCTCTTGACAAAAGCAGAACGACTTTGACGTTCGGTCTCAGTTGGGTCCCTAAGGATGGAAGCCTAGCAGCGCAAGCCGCAAGCCTGAGTGGCTCAGGCTTTCCCAGGAGGCTCAGAGGAGTTGGCAAGAGCTCGGTGGGGCAGGGTGGGGTGGGGTGGAAGGTACTTTGTGATGTCACTTCTCTGACATGCTTCAAACTCTGCTGCAGTTGCTGGCAACAGCATTTGGAAAACTCATCTTCTGGTGGGTCTCATTTCTAAATATGTGAATTATAAATAGCTGGATATCTTGGCCCTTAAAGTGCTTTAGAAAGGGAACTTCCTATAGAAGAACTCATGATTCGTCTTCCATTATTTTCTCATTCTTTCTCGTCCTTCCTTTTTCTTCCATTCTTCCCAGGAAGCTTGTGGTTCCTCAGAGTGGAGGGCCCTCAAATTTTCAACAAAGGTGTTACTAGCATTTGGAGTGGGAAATTAATTCCTCGTGTGTGACTGTCCTGTGTGATACAGAACATTCATTCTCCCTGGCCATTCACTTCTCTTATAAAATTCCAGCCAGCGCTCCCCGTCCAGGGCACTTCCAAACATCCCTTAGCCGAGACATTGCCTCCCCCCACGTTGTGAAAACCATTGCCTTAACCCCTTCCCTCCCCAAGAAGTGACTTGCTCCCGGGCACCCTCACCAGGCAGCGGCAAAGCCAAGGCCAAGTCAAGGCGTGTTCGTTCGTAACGAGAACTTTTACTCTTTCCCAGAATGTGTGCTGGGAATGCGGGCCTGATCTGAGGCAGTGAAGAGGGGGGACTCCCTGCCCACAAAACTAAGACGTCTCACAATTTCTCTGCTTTTGCCAAACTCCGTCCTCCTTCTGTAGCCCGGCCAGCTCGGCCTTTCCGCAAATGCAGGCACCAATCAAAATTTCTGGTAATTAGTGCAAAGAGCTTAGCCGAGCGCGATCCGCAGGAGCGCAGTCAGGTCCCCTTCGGGCGGGGCAGCAGGGCCCAAACGCCGAAACCCCGAGGGCGCCGCGAGCGAACTGCTGTTTTCCACCCGCATCGAGGAGTCAGCGAGCTGACGCCGGGCCCCTGCCGCCGAGCTGCGCGGGACCTGGGGAGGGGTGGAGCACCGTCGACCCTCGCCGATCGGTCCCCGGAGGTTCCCCCGGCTGAGCTGGGGGCCAGGGGCCGGGGCCAGGGGAGCCCAGGCCGTGACGCGGCGGGAGCAGAGGGCTGCGCATCTGGACTCGAGCGCGTCTTCCCACGCCGGAGGCCGAGGCCGCCGGGAATGGCGGGGCCCCCTCTCCAAAGTCCTTCGAGATCCCAGCTCGCTTCGAGGGGGCGGGGGGTGTGTGTGGGAAAGCGAGAATATTATTATCCCTCTGTTTTGCCTCGGCAGCCAGCGCCGGCGGGTTGTTCTGTTTGAATGAATGATCCCAGCGGCCGCGCCCAATGGGCGCCCGCGCCTGTTTAATATGCATGAGGCCCGCGGCCAATGGCCGGGCGAGGAGGCTGTTTTAAACGGCGGAGCCCGCTGGCCAATCAGGCGGCTCTCGTGGAGGCAGCTAGCGCGAGGCTGGGGAGCGCTGAGCCGCGCGTCGTGCCCTGCGCTGCCCAGACTAGCGAACAATACAGGTACGTTTCGCACCGCCCGCGCCCGCCGCCGCCGCCGCCGTTCCTGCTGCTGCTCCTGCCGCCGCTGCTGCCGCCGCCGCCGCCGCCGCGCCCGCACAACTTTCCGGCCCGCGCCGCCGCGAGCGCGCCCCGCCGCCGCCTACCCCTGCCTGTCGTCCCCGCGCCCTTCCCGCCCCTTCTTGCCTCTTGCTAGGTGGCCGGGAAGGAAGAAGCAATTCAGGTGTTTCAACTTTTCAATGCTTCATCCTCCGCGCCCCGCGGTCGGGGCTGAGCCCCCTTCGGGGAGCCGCCCTCGGCCGCCGCCCTCCCCCCGCCCCCCCCGGGGCAGCGGCCGACGGACCGAGGCCCCCAGAGGCCAGATGTTGGGGCAGCTGTGGCGGCGGCGGGAGCCCAGGGGCGGCTGCGGGCTGCGGGCTACGGGCTGCGGGCTCCGGCGGCGGCGCGCGTCCCGGCGCGGGGCGGCGGCACTGCGAAGGGGGCCGGGTGCTTCCCGGCCCGGGACGGACTCGGCGAGGGGCGGGCGGCCGCTGCCCGCCGGGGGCTGCGGCGCGGGCAAACTTCGCTCCCGGGCTCGGCCGGGCGCGGCGCGGGCCCGCGGGCTGCACTGCTGCTTCTGCATGAACATGGCCGTCGCGGGAGCGCCCGGCGGCCCGGGGGTGCGCGGACCGGCCGCCCCCCGCTCGTCGCCTGCCCGCCGGCCGCCGCCGGAGCCGCCGCCGCTAACATGGCTGGCGCGGTGCTGCGCTCGGGCGAGGGGACGACGGGCGGGCGGGGCTCCCGGGCGGGCTCTGGCCGCGGCCCCGGCGCCCGCGGCCCCCGGCTGGCGGCGAGGAGGGCCGGGGGCGCCGCCGCGGGCCCCGGCGCGGCCGAGCGTCATGGCTGCACGGGCGCCTTTGTTATCCCGAGGAGTGCGCCCCGCGCCGGCGGGGAGGGGGGGTCCGGCCCGCGCCCCCGCCGCCCCGCGCCCCCGGGCGGCCCGGGCGGGGCGGGGCGGGGTGGGGGCCGGCGAGCGGGCGGCGGCGGCGGCGGCGGCGGCGGCGGTGGCGGTGGCGGTGGCGGGGCCCGGACCGCTTTGTTCGCCGCCGCCGCCTGCGCCGGCCGCGCGCGGATCAGCCATTTTAGCGAGCGGGGCTCGGAGGCACGGCGGGCGCCACCGTCGCCGCCGCCGCCGCCGGCCCGGCTCTGCGCCCTCGGCGCGCTGCCGCCGCCGCCGCCCCCGGCCCCGCGCGCCCCCCGGGGGTGGCAGCGGGGGATTTCAGGGGCAGTTTCTTTCATCAGGAAGCTTTTGACAAAATGGAAGGTGAATTATGGGTGTCCGGGTGACCCAGCGCGGGGCCGAGCCCGCTGCCCGCCGCCGGCCCGGGCTCCCCTGCGCCCCGGCCCGCCCCACCCGCGCGGCCACTGCGGGCCCCGAACGCGGCCCCTCCGCCGGTCCCTGCGAGGGGGAGCGCTGTAGTTTTACGTGATGACCTTGGGTGTGGGAAAAGGAAAAGATGGCGGGAAGCTGGGGGGTGGGACAGGGACGATGACACGCCACAGCTGCATTTTTATTTGGAAACTTTGGAGAAAGTATTCCTGGCTGGACCTGCGTTCCGCTGCACGGATGAGCGGGCCTAGCCCTTTTGGCATCCCCTCCCCCTTCAGATAATGACAAAGTGACAGATTTGAACTCCTAGGACGGGGGGAGCTGCCCACTGGCCGCATCACCTTTCTTGCAAAAGCCATTTCTAGGAGCCAAAAGGCATCAATAGTGCAACTGCAAATGTTCCCCCTTTACGCTTCTCCCGCTTTGATCTGGCGCCTAGCGTGGCAGCGGTGACAGTATTTTTGTCTGTACCGGTGCAGTCAAACAGTTGACAGCTCGCCTTAAGTCGTGGGTCTCGGGCTTCTGTCATCCGCCTGCCCCCCTACACATGCGTCCTCCCGGCGCCCTCCCCACTCTGCGGTTGTAGTTTCCAAAACGTAGTAGCTCCGAATGGGAATGTAGCGCGGAGCCACCCCACTTGGGTCGCTTCCATTTGGAGAACTTGATCGCTCTCGCTCTCTCGGAGAAGTAACTCGCAAACCAGCGCGCTTCATGCTGGTCAAAAGTTAAATGACAAGCGACAGTGACGCTGATTTCGTCCTCACTCTGCCTTGAGCTGCCGGCTGGCATCGGGCACTGGGGAGGGGGACTGCTGCCTAACGGGGACCTTAATTGGAATTTTGCCTGCCCCTGCTGTACCCTGTGGGTCTGTTGTAGTCACTGTATTTGTTTTTCTTTGTCTCCCTTCCTTCATCCATCACAGTCAGGATGGCTAAAGGTGATCCCAAGAAACCAAAGGGCAAGATGTCTGCTTATGCCTTCTTTGTGCAGACGTGCAGAGAGGAACATAAGAAGAAAAACCCGGAGGTTCCTGTCAATTTTGCTGAGTTTTCCAAGAAGTGCTCTGAGAGGTGGAAGGTACTTTGCTTTTGTGTCCCCAAGCTAGGCTTAGTTGGATTTCACACATGGGGTTAGTCACCTTCCCAGTAGCCCCAGGTGGCTTTCTACTTCCTCTTGGGCTCCTCTTGGCTCCCTTTCCAGTCGTGTGTGTGCGCTTTTATTTTTTTTAAGCTGGACAAGGGTTTGAGGCCCTGCCCACTGCACCGAGGGATTTAACAGCTCCTGTTCTTTGCAGACAATGTCTGGAAAAGAGAAGTCGAAATTTGATGAAATGGCCAAGGCAGATAAAGTGCGCTATGATCGGGAAATGAAGGATTATGGACCCGCTAAGGGAGGCAAGAAGAAGAAGGACCCTAATGCCCCCAAAAGACCACCGTAAGTGACTGTAGGGTTCAGGATAACAGATGAGAGCTCTCATTCTACCTGAGGGATTTTTAAGAGGACACATTACCTAAAAACTTCAGGATAGCCTGCAAAGCATTCTATACTTAGAGCCTTAAGGTGCTCTGGTCCGGATGTCTGTCTTAAGGCTGCGGGATTTGGGAGCTGTGTCCTTGTGCTGGTTGCCTGTTGGCTTTTCCGTGGGGAGTGAGGCACCCCACTTATAGGTGTCAGAGTCCTTAGCTATGATTCCCCCCGGCCCCACTTTTCCAGCAACTGAGAGACTGAGAAAGTCCTGTGTATTTCTGAAGCATCTTAGGCATTCTAAAACCTACGACTTTGTCACAGGGTGTAGTGTCACACCTTTTTTTCACTTCAGGGAGGAGTCTGTAGTGGTGGGAAGGTATCCGTGAGAGACTGGGGATCTGGGCTTAAGCTCACATTTTTGTGGGCTCTTGTCTCATTCATACAACGGTCTTCCTAAAGGTCTGGATTTTTCCTGTTCTGCTCGGAATTCCGCCCCAAGATCAAATCGACAAACCCTGGAATCTCCATTGGAGATGTGGCGAAGAAGCTCGGTGAGATGTGGAATAACTTAAGTGACAGCGAGAAGCAGCCTTACAACAACAAGGCAGCCAAGCTGAAGGAGAAGTATGAGAAGGTGAGGTGGGCGCGGGTGTGGCCAGGCAACTAGGCTGGACAGGTGGGCAGCCGGCCGTCCTGGGTGTGCGGGAGGCGTCCAGCTGCTTTGCTGGGCTGACAGGTGAGCCCAGTGTACGAGGGCTGGCGTTCAAGAATAGAATGTTCTTTGGGACCACTGCAGACAGGCTCTTTAAAAAAGTTGCATAACGTGGGATGCCATGGGCAGGGAATTGGACAGTCCCATTAAACAGCCGTTAATTCGAGTGGCCTTCAACCACATTTCCATGTATCTGGGAAGAGATACTTCAGAGAGCAGCCCTGAGTAGTAAGTCACTTGTGTCCCATTCTGAGGTGGGGACAGCATGTTTCTGTCCTTGGCTAAAACAGCTGCAGGAGAGCCTTAGCCATCGATTCATTTGGAATGTGTCCCCCATTCCTTCCAGGATGTCGCTGACTATAAGTCTAAAGGGAAGTTTGATGGCGCAAAGGGTCCCGCTAAAGTTGCCCGGAAAAAGGTGGAAGAAGAGGATGAAGAAGACGAAGAGGAAGAAGAGGAGGAGGAGGAGGAGGAGGAGGATGAATAAAAAAAAACTGTTGATCTGTCTCCTTGTGAATACCTTAGAGTAGGGAGCGCCGTCATTGACACCTCTCTTATTCGAGGCGTGTCTGTTGCCCTCGTTAGGTTTAATTACACAATTGGGTCATGGTCATATTGTAGTTTCTCAAAGTGCTCTAGAAATCGTCAGTGGTTTACATGAAGTGGCCATGGGTGTCCGGAGCACCCTGAAACTGTATCAAAGTTGTACATATTTCCAAAACATTTTTAAAAATGAAAAGGCTCTCGTGTTCTCCTCACTCTGTGCACTTTGCTGTTGGTGTGACAAGGCATTTAAAGATGTTTCTGGCATTTTTTCTTTTTTTTTAATTTGTAAGGTGGTGTTAAACTATATGGTTATTGGCTAGAAATCCTGAGTTATCAACTGTACATATCTATAGTTTGTAAAAAAAAAAAAAAGAGAGAGAGAGAGAGAGAGAACAAAACAACCGAGACAAACTCTTGATGCTCCTTGCTCGGCGTTGAGGCTGTGGGGAAGATGCCTTTGGGAGGGGCTGTAGCTCAGGGCGTGCACTGTGAGGCTGGACCTGTGGACACTGCAGTGGGCATCCATTTAGCTTCAGGTTGTCTTGTTTCTGTATATAGTGACCTAGCATTCTGCTGCCATTCTTAGCTGTGGAAAAGGGGGGGTCAGCTGGCATGAGAAGTGTTTGGATCCTTTTTAGTTAAGTGCGGTAGTTTTAAACTGTTTGTTTTTAAACAAACTGTAGAACTCTTCATTGTCAGCAAAGCGAAGAGCCACTGCATCAATGAAAGTTCAAGAACCTTCTGTACTAAACACGACTTGCAACGTTCTGTTATTTTTTTTGTATGTTTAGAATGCTGAAATGTTTTTGAAGTTAAATAAACAGTATTACATTTTTAAAACTGTTCTCTATTATGACAGTCTAAATCTCTGACTCACAGACAGCAGTCTTAGCTAACAACCCACTCCATTGTATTTGGTGACTAGCCCCCCTGCACATCTGGTACCTTCTCTTCATGTGGCCAGCTTGCTTAGGATAGAGCTGAAGAGGCTCCTCGAAGGTACTGCATGATTTTGTTTGGGTCTAAGTGGCATTAAGATAAAGTCTGAACTGCGGGGTGTAGAAGCCAAGAGAACTTGACCCCAGGCAAGTTTTCCCAGCCTTGGAAGGTACAGGAAGGTGGGTGGTTAGGATTGAGGCTGACTACTATGTAGGTTTAATGGGTTTTTGTTCTGGTTTGGTTTGTTTTGTTTTTTTGTTAATTTTTTTTTTGTGCCTCCTGCCACCAATGCTCCCTCCCCTCATGCTGTGGGGCCAGATTCATTGCTAAACAGCAAAAATATCCTCCTAAGGGTACGGTGTATCAGATGTTCAGGCTTTCTTTTTCCTGTCTCATCGCCCCTGACCCCGGTCCGTGTAGCAGAGTATCATTTGTTCTGTTCGACAGTTGGGGTCTTGAGCTGCCGCTTCTGCCTCCTGGTCCCCAGTGAGGGGAAGGGTGGTAGGGGTGGCGAACGATATCCATTGGTTTTCCTACTCCTTTGAGAAACTGAACACCCCGAGGAAGGTGGCTGGGGTCCCTGTGGCAGGCTCTGCCTTGGGCCACCTGTACTGCAGGCAGGCTGATGAGATGGATTGTTTCTAAGAAGCATTAGATGAATCCTATGAAAAGTAGGATGGCCTGCCCACAATTTTGAGCTCATTGATTGCAAATGTAGGTGGTTGTTAAATGTTGTTAAACTGGAAGAAGCTTGGTCCGTGTTTCAGTGGTTATTTTATGTTGGTGGATGATGTTGACATTTTGTCCCAGTTGGGGAAAGGGGTGAGGCGATGGCCACAGTGGCAAGCGGTGACATTAAAAATCCTTTCGAGGGCTGGTCCATCTTTACTGTTGGCAGGAAGGAAGGGCCTTGTGTTGTGGGTGAGAGTATTGAATACTCTGCGTTGGAGGCTGTGAAGCACTCGGGAGTGTTTTTGTGACCTCAGGAGGAAGCTTTTTCTGAAAATTCACAATTTGAAACCCTGTTGTCTGCAGGCTATATGTCCTCCCCACCCTGTCAGGTCCTGGATGGGTATGTCCCGGTCATGGTCACTGGCCCAATCTCTCACCGATATTTATAGCCATTCCCATTCCTTTGCACATCAGAACTGTTTGTCCTAAATGTGTTTTTCTAGCTCTTCTAGAAGATGACCACTAATTTAGAAACCCTCGGTCTTGAGGTTTGCCCAGAGGCACTTGTTCGAGGTGCCCTCCTGCTTCAGCGGGTGCCGCTGCTGCCCGGCTTAGGTGTACCAAGATTTGGGAACTGGTTAACCTCATCAAATATGGAAGAGGAGCTCACTTGTCCCAAAGGAGAGCTGACTTGCTAAGTGGCGCCTGCCGGGCTGTAGCATCTTTGCGCCCCTCTGCCTTTGTGCTAAACAAGTAGGGGAGCTGCTTAAGTGATCTTTGCGCGGATGTAGAGTTCTAAAAAGATTCTAGTTAAGGCCACTTGGCTCATGTTTTCACCCCAGCACGAAGTTGTTCCTCTTACTGGAATGATGCTCCCGGAGCTTCTCTGAGACGTGACAAGTGGCGTGGTGTCAACCATCTAAGGCTTCGGCTCAGCCTGATTACTGGGGCTCACAGTAATGTGATCTCACGATGCCAACCTGTTACTTTATTATTATTATTTTTAATCAAAAGGACAGTACCTGCTTTCTCTAACCGGCTCTCTCCCAGCCCCCTCACCCCATGTTTGAATGATGTTTTATCTTTTGGAAAGAACAAGGCTGTGATGTAGCAACTATTGTCTGTGTCTCCTGTGTGTCTGTTCTTGTCACAAATGTATTTGGGGACATTGGATGCATTCATTTTCTGTAATAAAGTTTCTTAATCAGTCTTCCCAAAAAGTAATCAGTGGGCTGTCTGCAATCTGTTTGAGATACTGAACCTCTGTATTTTGGGTTGATTATAATCAAGGTTTGGGAAGTACAAGCTTTGCTGTAACCATAGATCTGAGCTGTTTAATGGAGAGATACCATCAAAAAGGGCAAGTGCGAAGGATTTCAGAGCCCCCAGATCATCAACCCTTCAGCCAGAGGGGTAGTGGGGGAGTTGGCTCTGGAGCCCTATGCCACGATGAATATGCAATTTGCAGGATGCTAATGAGCTGTGGCAGATAAAGTGTCTGGGTACTTGTAATCAGCCAGCCCTGCCAACCAGGGCCTCCTGAGGCTGAAGGTCAGGGCTTAGTTGGCTGACAGAGCCAGGCCCAACAAGGTGTTTTAGATGAGAGCTCTTCTTTGGACCCTGGCTTAGTTTCCCCATGGAACCAAGGGCTGCTAGGGAGGGAATGACTGGCAGGCCAGCTTGGCAGCCCCAGGCTTCTCTTCCTGCTTCAACCAGAGCAACCCCCCAACTCTGTTTTGTATCTCAAGTCTCCCAAGATTTTAGCTTAAAAAAGAAACTGGGATACAATAAGATTTTTTTTTAAAAGTCCAAACCCCATATCAATAGATACATAAAATGTATTTGATAAAATCCAATGCCCTTTCATGATTTTCAAAAAAAAAAAAACAGCCAACCAACAACTCAGATGACTGGGAATAGATGAGAACTTGCTCAACCTGATAAAGAGCACTTAGGGAAATCCACAGCTAATATACTCCGTGAAAGCTGTCCGCCCCCCCCCCCCCAAGTTCAGGAAAGAGACAAGGATGCTCAGTGGTACCACTTGCATTTATCATTGTACTAAAAGTTCTAGCCGAGGCAATTAGGCAAGAAAACACGAAAGCATCTAGACTGAAAATGAAGGACTAAAGCTATGTCTATTTGCATATGACATGATCTTATGTATAGCCAATCCTACAAAATTTCCAGGTAAAACTGTCAGAAGAAATAAATGAATACAATTGCAGGATACAAGGTCAGTATACAGAAATGTATCGTATTTCTATACACTAGCAATGAACAATTTGAAAAGGAAACTAAACAGTTCCATTTAACAGCCATCAAAACAAAGTACTTAGTAACAAGTTTAACAAAAGTACAAAACCTGTATGGGGGAAAAATACAACACATTGTTGAAAAGACATTAAAAACCTAACTAAATGGAAAACATCCCATGTTCATGGGTTGGAAGGCAAGGTTGTTAACACAGCAATACTCCCGGAATTGATGTATGAATTTAATGTAATCACTATCAGAATCCCAGCTGGCTTCTTTGTAGAAATCGACAGTGATCCTAAATTTCATATGGAGATTCAAGGGACCCAAAACAATCTTGGAAAAGAAAGACAGAGTTGGAGGCATCGGACTTCCTGATTTCAAAAACTTAGTACAAAGCTATAGTAGTCAGCACAGTGTGGTACTGGCATAAGCTCATCATCCTCCCCCCTTCTGCCCTCCCCCAGATCTGTTCTCCACCACGGCCTGCCATCTGGAACTCTACCCAGGCGCCTTTTCTCACTCCCCATAGTCAGTTCCCGAATCCTGCCAAATGTATTTCCTAAAATATCTTAGATCCACCCCTCTTCTCATTCATGCTGTCCATCGTAGGTAAATCTCTCGTCTTCAAATTCTCCTATTCTCTCTTTGGGCTAGGCTAGAACTTGCATTTTCAGGCTTTTGGTCATTGCTCTCCCTCTAGGGAAATCTCCAACTGTGACTCTAGGGTTTGATCTGTCTGTTAAGTCCCATTAGAGCTGGAGTGTCAGAGCCTAGAGACACGCTGGAGCTCAGGTCCTCACTATCTTTTTTTTTTTTTTTCTGAACAAATACGATAGCTTCTCCAATGATTGTCCTCCTTTCTCACTCGCATCTACTCCATCCCCAGACCATAGCTATACACACAGAGTTGGCGCTGAATATATATTCACTCTATAAATAAATGGATGAATGAATGACTAGGGACAGATCAGGGGAAAGCTCAACAGGGTAGACCCTGTAGGCCATCATAAGAATTTTGAACTTTCCTAAGGTCAAGGGCAAGCATTTGAGAGTTTTTATCTGTTGGCGTTTGGGGACTCGTAGATGGCGATATGCTAAGACATGTATTGTAGTTGAATTATGTTGGCATCTGTGAGAAGAATAGAAGACATGGGAAGGGGCAGGAGTGGAAGCAGGGTATTAGGAGAAGTCAACTGCAACAAAGAGCAACCCTCAACTCTTTTTTTTTTTTTTTTAGGGAGAGTGTGGGAGGGGGGAGAGGAGGAGCAGAGAGCAACCCTTGATTAACACAATTCTTAATATTGTGACTTAACACAGTAAAAGGTTGACATCTCACTGACATGACAGTCCCAATCAGATACTTGGCTGGCAGCCTTCCTTATTGTGACTCAGGGATCCTGGCTTCTTCCATTTGTGGGGCCACCCTTTTCAATCCATGACCTCCTTGTCACTGAAGAATAGGCTTTACCATAAGGCCTGCAAGTGGCATTCCATCCCTGTCACCCACATTCCATGGTTCCCAAATGAGCTGCAAGGGCAGCTGAGAGATGTGGTCATTCTGTGTGGCCAGGGAGAAAATCAAACGGATTTGTGAACACACAGCATTTCTCGGCCATTGAGGAAGACGGGGTGGGGGGTAGTTATGGGAGTCTCTCTAGATGAGATGCCGGAGGTTATTGAAAGAGCGGTGGGAATGGGGGTGGGAAAGGGCGCTGGATTCAGGCGAGATTGCGGATTGCTGGGACTTGCTGGGGCATTGGATGGGTGGGGGGGGGCATGGGGAAGAGGAAGGCGTTGGGAATGAGTCCTGAAATTCTCTCACTTGGGGCACTGGAGGGTTAGTGGAGCTATTCCATCAGATAGAGCCCCTGAAGAGAAGCAGGTCTGAGAGGGAATCATCTCAAGGCTTAGCAGTGTTGGGAAGGAGTAACAGGTCTGAGCTGACATTTCCCCACCAGGGAAAGTTTGTAACTTG